ATAGAGGGAGCTCATCCACCTCTCCCCGGATTCAAACCTGTGACCTGTCGATCTTTAGTCCTGCCGGCACACGGATTTAACCCACTGCACCACCGGGGGTTCTTGTGATATTACAATACAATGGTATAGTATAATATAGTAATATATAATACTGATATTGTACTATGCTAATAATATAATATATTGTATGTGTGTGTGTGTGTGTGTATGTATATATATATATATTCTGTCACACACTGGGCCTGTAAATAGCTGTCTTTAAAACAGGACGTGCAACCTTTGCCCAATGGGAAGCCAGGGGGCCCAAAGAGAAGTTCTCAGAGGTTTCCACCACAAAACAGTCTTTAGATGGTTTGAGAAGTACAACAAAGTCTTTTATTGAGGAACAATCAAACAGAAACTTCTCTTGTCTTCAGTAAAGTTACGTAAATGATTCCAAGTTTTTGGGCAACTGGTGAATTCCTAAACTTGCCCACGAAGGACAGACAACTATCTTCAATAACTTCTTCTTTAAAGGAAAATCCCCTTTTTAACTTCTCCCAGACTGACTGTAATCTAACCCTTACTGATGTGGGTCGAACTGCATCTTGAACACCGAGTGGACCTACCAGCAAGGCAGTAGATGTTCTCCAGCTGGAGTTCTTTGGTCTTTAGGGCTGTTTTCCTCGAAATTCTCAAAGCTGTGGGGATGCTTCCCTGGAAATTATTTCCCTGGAAAATTCTTAAAGGTTGAAGCTTTTGTACAGGGGAAGTTTACACACGTCCTGTACATTGGCTAACCTTGCTGAGACTAACTAAAAATGGCTCCCTTCCCAATTGCCCTGAGCAAGGGGCGGGACCAACTTAATGATGATGGACAGGCGGCTTGCCCTATAACTGCAACCAAAGAAGCCACCTATCTGCAGAGTCCCTGAAACTTAGGACTGCAAACAAACATTCAATGCAAAGTAAACAAATTTGGAGCTCCCGGTACAGCTGTACCAGAACAATATACATTGTAAGCCGCTCTGAGCCCCCTTCGGGGTGAGAAGGGCGGCATATAAATGTTGTAAATAAATAAATAAATATCCTAGTAAACAGTTGGGAAACTGTTATTAAGACATGAGGCAATTATATACTCTGCTGGGTTTAGGAAGGGAGAGATGCCATAAATGTCACATCAGGGAGTTTTTATATAATGCTCTGAAAGTAATAGGGAGGCAGAAGAGCTCTCATATAATAACATGCATTATGGAGGAATACACGGCTCATTCAGTTTCAAATCTGAAGAATGGACCATCCCACTTAAATGAAGAAAGCTGCTTTCTAGGTAAGGAAGAATAGGCTTCTTTGGAAAATCTGCCTGTCACTGCGCTTTAGCTGGGAAAAGGAAATAAGCTTGTTGTATTTTCCATTCATGCAAAGTGCTTTTTGTTTCCTCCAGGCAAGAGTATCTCCCCAGAGAAGCTCTTCTCTTTGAAGATTTCTCAAGATAGAGAGCTTGCTGATGCCATACAGGAATTCGATTTCACAAAGAGATAAAATTGGAGATTAAAAGAACGGCTTAGCTGAAGAACTTCCTCTTCCCTAGAAGAAAGTGGCAAGGAAATAGCAAATGAGACATTCTACCAGGTTCCTCATCTTTCTCAGCTCGAAAGATAACACACTTTCATCAAAATTAGCAGAACACTGTTTCTTGGCAGAGTCAGGTGTTGCTACTGGAAGTGTATATACTACATACACACATATAAACCGTTTGGCAGGAAAGTTGCCACACCAAATGTTCATAGTTATTTTAAGAACTAACTTTGCACAAACAAACACCAAAGCCAGTCTTGCAAAATGTGTCATTGTCACAAGGAAAAACAAGAGTAGGACCTAGTTAAGCTGTTGAAAAGTTCACCAACGTTTGCAAAATCTCGGCTGAGAGATTTGATCGTAAGTATTATCCATCTTCTCCTTTGTGAGCATTTCAGATCTCTGTCCCTCATCGTGGCAGGAATGCACAAGTTGCATGGCTAGAAAGGTTATTTTCTAACTTTTCAAAATGATGATACTTTAGCGCCAACCACATACAGAGACATTCACAACCAGTCTTGGGATGCAGCCCAGGAGAAGAACTGTCGCTGAAAAGAAGAAAGAGCACACACATGCTAATTTCTATCAACACTCTTTCCCTTTCCATGCCTTTCATGCCCTGCATTCCAGGTTTGTTCTGATGACAAAGATAAAAGCTTTCTCTTGTCTGCTGACACTGGATACACATTTGTGTATGCAGAGATGTACGAGGGGTATTTTTTAAGTAAGGTCCGTTTTGTTGTAGACACTAGTAGTTCGCGCGCAACGATTTGATTTGATCACACATTCAAATCTTTGGTTTTTGTGGTCCTCTGTTAGGAGTTTCGGGACCCAACGGGAGCACAGTTTCCTAAACTTTAGGTGTTCAGAAACAATGTTGTAAAGCACTGATCTCGACACGTCAGGAAATTCGTTTGAGAGACCTGTTATTGTGAAGCGCCTGTTCTCACGAATCCTCGCTTCAACTGAAGCCACCAAATCGTCTGTAATCAAAGAAGGGCGACCGGAGCGGTCCTCATCATGGACGTTGTCACGGCCATCTTTGAATTGTCGTACCCACTTACGCACTTTGCTTTCACTCATAACAGTATCACCGTACACTTCACAAATCTGTCGATGAATTTCTGCAGCAGGCAGGTTCCTTGCTGACAAAAACCGTATCACTGAGCGAACCTCACATGCGGCGGGTGAGTTGATAGTCTTAAACATTTTTAAAGCACAGAACAACCGTACAGGTGAGCTACAGAGCGGAAACTGAGCACAGTTGTTCCCGACGCACGCGCTCACTGCGGTATGCGCGCAAACTACTAGTGTCTACAACAAAACGGACCTTACTTTAAAAATACCCCTCGTACATCAATAGGCTAGTATAGGCAATAGGCTGGAATATCAAGCCTTGAGATTGGATAAGTTTGATGGTGTCAGTTATTTACTACCACGGTCAGAGGATCGCAGCTTGAGTCTGAATTGATGTTTTTAAATGTGCATGTGTTTTATTTTATTGTAGTTTATATTGTGTTCACTTTTATGTTTGTTTTTAGGCACTTTGTGCCATTGGTAATGTTCCATCTTCCAGGAGCTTGGTTTGCATTGCCCCTTAGTTGCTTGAAATAGCATCCCTTTGCAATTCCCCCAGGGTTGCTACAGTCTTAGCAGCACCCTAATAGTCAAACATTAACAGAGGCTGGAAGCCAGCCTGCAAGCCTTTTGCAGCTATTGGCTTAAAAAAGGTATCTCTTTGGTCCAGAGACCGCCCTTTTTCCTGGGGATGAGATCTCCATTTTGGAGAAGCTCTCCTGCCTTCTTCAGTATAGAAAAAGCCTCAGATGTGCTGGTGGCCAAGCTAGGCAGCTCGGACAGGCCATCTTGAGTACGGTTACCCTCTTGCCTTGGAAACTGGTGCTGAGCTAAGATAGGGGAAGACCTGCTCTTTCTAAAAGATAGCAGCTCAGCGCTGGGGCAGAGAATATCTCAGGATTTCTCTGCCATTGGGAGAGGCTCCATTACTTCATCCCCAAACTAACATTGAGCTTGGATAGGGGAAGACCTGCTCTTTCTAAAAGATAGCAGCTCAGGGTTAAGGTAAAAGATCCCAGGATTTTTCTACCGTTGGGGAAAGTTAACTTGGCAGCTGAAGAAAAAAGGGAAGGAAAGAACATCTATATGGTTTCACAAGTTGACTGTTTGTGTTTGTAACTTCATCAAGCTGTGCCAAGTCTGTCAAGGACTTTGAGAAATAAATGTTCTGTTTGATGTTCAAATCTGGACTGGCCTCAGTTGCTGGGAATCCTGAGCTTCGAAGTAAGGCACCCGCAGTTCACCCGGATAAAGAGAGAAGCACATCTTAGTTTTAACTTTATAGTGTCTGGGTGTGACGGCACAGGTAAGGTGTCCAGGGTCCCTATAGGGAGATGGTGGAAGGATATAAGAATAAAGTTGCTATTATTATTATTATTATTATTATTATTATTATTATTATTATTATTATTTCTTCTGGAAACTTGATTTTCTCTGTTTTTGTACAAGGGAGGACACAGCCCAGACTTGAGAGTCTAATGGGATCTATGGACTTTCTAACTCTGCTGTTAACACTAGGGATCCCATCTTTTTGCCTGATTAAAAGCTAAATTCCTTTTAATTCTACAATCTGTGCTCCGATGTCCAGCTCACCTATGCAACCTTAGGAACCTCAAGTCAAAAAGCACAGCTTTTCTGTTTGGATTTGCAGCCCTACTAATCCAACACCATCAAGCACTTGCTTTGACGTATATATAGCAGTTCATGTTGAAATTCGGCACAAAAGAGCCCCTCTCTGTGAAAGTCACTTCCCTTCAACCCTAAATGTTACACTAATGGTGCGTAATTCCATATTACAATCAGATTGCTGGTCCTTAGCAGTGGTTGAGTCACAGCAAGGCAGTATTGTCCTCGGCTTCCGCTGCGGTTGTTTGCGGTGTTTGCGGTGCCCACATATCCATTCGCACAGCCGGCTAATATTAACCGAGTATATAATCTTGAAGCAACACACTCCAGGCAATGCAGCCACAGCTTGAGCATGCTGGTGGGAAAGGGGATTTAATAACAGGCCAGAAGAAAGAGGTCAGTGATCAGCAGAGAAACTGCAGCAACCTCCTTAAGTAACTAGTCTTTGGGTTATGCTGTCTTTCTTCCCAGTGTCAAACAAGGTAAGGGAAATCCTGCACAGCGGATGCCTCCAGCTACTGCCAACCGAGGTATCATATTCTGATGACAGAGCAAAGCCCCATGGACGGAGACCAGATAGACTCATCTCTGTCTGTCTTTGTTTTCGCTGCCTCAAAATAGCATGAAATAAAAAACTGGTTGCAAAGGAGAGAGAAAACAAAATCTGATGGAAATAAAGAATGCACCATCAATCAGCGAGGGATGCCACCGTGAGAGTCTTACGGAGAGAAAGCCGTTACCTTCCATGCTGCTGCGGCTGAAGAATATCCAAGAGAAGCTGCTTCACCTCACTGGGAGACAGCTGGTATAAATCCGTGGGGGGCATCTCCCCTGCGCGGATCTGCAGTTCGTACTTCATGGCGTGCACAATCCATCTGGAAAAGACAAACAGCCATCAACTCAAGTCTTTATTTGGAGCAATCAATATTGGTGGCTGAAATCTCCTCCGTAAAGAGAGGCGATAGGCCTGCAGCACTTTTAACTATCGGAAACAAACACATTGTTGAGATTAACTTCACAATTCAGCAGCAGATCAGTTGCACAACTTCAGCACTTTCCAGTAGCTTCTTCCTGCACAGTATTTTCAGTCAACTGCTCCCACAGCCTGCAGTCACTCTGGAACCTTTTACATACACTTGAGCACATGCCCGGCCATTGTCAGTTTTACCATTATCTTTCCCCCAGTCTAGATGATATTACAAACTTACCACAGCATACAGTTATATCTTGTCTTAGCAGACAGGTTCTTTAATTACATATAGCCTTCGACGAACAACATCACAGCACAAGGAGAAATATACACTGTACATGACTTCCTTATATACAATTCATTTACACATAGCAATCACTGATTGGTTCCCAACTCATTGACTCAACTCAGACCCAGGATTACATCATTCACAATCACCTGGACTAGGCCAGAACACAGGAAGAAAGAGGGAGGGAAGGGGAGAAAAGAAAGAAAGAAAAAAAGAAAAGAAATAGGGAGGGAAAGAAAGAAGGAAAGGGAGAAGGAAGCATGGAAGCAAAGAGAAAGGAAGGAAGGAAAGAGGTAGAGAAGGAAGAAAGGAGAGAAAGAGGGAGGGAAAGAAAAAGGGGAAGGAAGGAAAGTTAGAGAAGGAAGGAAGGAGTGAAGGAAAGAAAAAAGGGAAAGAAGGAAGGAAAGAGGAAGGAAGGGGGGAAGATGTAGAGAAAGAGGGAGGGAAGGAAGGAAGAAAAGAGAGACAGAAGAAGAGAAAGAAAAAGGGGGAAGGAAGGAAAGAGAAAGAGAAGGAAGGAAGAAGAGAAGAAAAGACAGGAAGGATGGAAAGAGGGAGTGAAGGAAGGAGAGAAGGAGAGAAAGTGGGAAGGTTGGCCACAGCAGCGCGTGGCGGGTACAGCTAGTTTCAAAATAAAAACAGATATAATCCTAAACTTAGGTAAAGCCTTTGAAAGCAAACAAATTGATTTTTTTTCTTGCTGCAGTATACACTAGCAAACGAATATGATCAATCAATAGAGTATGAAAGAAATATTGAGACAGAAACAATGTATATTATCTCTTTCTCACTGTCAGTAGTTATAACACATGCCACATATTTTTAAAAACAGCAGTGAGACAGATCCCTATGCCTTTTCTTTGGTAATATTTCTCACAAGACTATAATATGGACAGCTGAGAACACACTTCATGGCATGATTACATCTTTCTGCAAGTGTTGCATATTGAGCTGATTCAGATGATGGCATTCCCTTCTTTCATCCATGAAATAACAAAATGAAATAAACAATTACAAAATAACATGATAGAGAAATAGAACACAGTGGGCGGGCCAAATGCACTAGGATAAAATTGGCATACACATATACACAAATATATATACACACAAAACACATAGATTGTGAGAAGCAGGATGCCATCCGAGTTGCTGTTTCCAACCCCATCTTTTCCTATGGTCCCTGTCCACAGGTCGAAGTCTCGCCCAATGATTTTGTCCTCCTTGGGTATCTCCGATAGGACGGTGTCCAGCTGACAGCACAATTTTTCCTTGATGTCTTCATCAGCATTGAGTGTTGGTGCATAGGCACTTATGATGATTGCTGTTGGTTTTTGGCAAGATCAATTCGGAGGGTTGATAGTCGTTCAGTGATGCCAGTGGGTGCTTTGGTCAGATGTTTCACCAGATCATTGAAGTCACAGGTTCGCAGTCTGGGTGTCCTCCTGGACTCATCACTGTCGCTTGAAGCTCAGGCATCTGAGGTGGCCGGGAGGGTCTTTGCACAATTAAGACTCATGCGCCAACCGCGATCATACCTTGTGAAGGCTGATCTGGCCAGGGTGGTCCACGCCTTAGTCACTTCCAGATTGGACTACTGTAATGCACTCTATGTGGGGCTGCCCTTGAAAACAGCCCAGAAATTTCAATTGGTCCAACGGGTGGCGGCCAGGTTGCTAACTGGTGCTCCTTACAGGGAGAGGTAAACCCTCCTGTTTAAGGAGCTCCACTGGCTGCATTTCATTTTCTGGTCCCAATTCAAGGTGCAGGTGCTTACCTACAAAGCCCTAAACCAGGGGTCCTCAAACTAAGGCCCGGGGGCCGGATGCGGCCCTCCAAGGTCATTTATCCGGCCCTCGCTCTGGGTCAACCTAAGTATGAAACGACTTGAAAGCACACAATAACAACAATAATCCTATGCCCTCATTCAAAAGCAGGCCCACACTTTCCATTGAAATACTAATAAGTTTATATTTGTTAAAATTGTTCTTAATTTTAATTATTGTATTGTTTTTAAATGCTTTTTGCACTACAAAATAAGATATTTGCAGTGTGCATAGGAATTCATTCATTGTAATGTCGAAGGCTTTCATGGCCAGAATCACTGGGTTGTTGTAGGTTTTCTCGGGCTATATGGCCATGGTCTAGAGGCGTTCTCTCCTGACGTTTCACTTGCATCTATGGCAAGCATCCTCAGAGGTAGTGAGACCTACAACAACCCAGAATTCATTCATGTTTTTTCGAATTATAATCCGGCCACCGAACAGTTTGAGGGACTGTGACCTGGCCCTCTGTTTAAAAAATTTGTGGACCCCTGCCCTAAACGGTTTGGGATCCGCCTACCTGCGTGACCACATCTCTGTGTACGAACCCACACGATCTCTTCGTTCATCTGGAGAGGCCCTGCTCACGATCCCACCTGCATCGCAAGCGTGATTGGTGGGGACGAGGGATAGGGCTTTCTATGTGGTGGCCCCTTGACTCTGGAACTCTCTCCCCAAAGACATCAGGCAGGCCCCGTCGCTAGCAATCTTTAGAAGGAGCTTGAAAACATGGTTGTTCCAGTGTGCCTTCCCAGAATAGGAAACTCCTAGCATTATGTCCAATGTACTTTATCAGAGATCTAGGATATCTGCATGCCCATTCCCTCCAAACACTCCACCTGGTCATGCCCAGCACTTTTAATTTTAATTGTTACATTTGGCCCTGCCATTGATTTTAATTGTATCATTGTGTGTTGTCAATGTTATTGCTTTGTTTTCTGATTTATTTTGCTGTCTGTTGTTGCTGTTGTTTTTACTATTGTATTTGGGCTCGGCCTCTTGTAAGCCGCACCGAGTCCTTCAGGAGATGGTCGCAGGATACAAATAAAGGTTTATTATTATTATTATTATTTCTGATCGCAAAGCCTACTCTGTGCATTCTTTGGTCTTCTTCGGGCAGTCCCTTCCAGAGAGTTTGAGGATTGGCACATCCGTAGGGAGACCAAGGTGCTTGTTTATAAAGCTATTGTCCTCCCAATCCTGCTATACGCTTGCGAGACGTGGACTGTCTACAGACGTCACATGCAACTCCTGGAACGATTCTATCAGTGCTACCTCCGGAAAATCCTGCAAATCTCTTGGGAAGACAAGCGGACAAATGTCAGCGTGCTGGAAGAAGCAAAGACCACCACCATTGAAGCGATGGTCCTCCACCATCAACTCTGCTGGACTGGTCACGTTGTCCGGATGCCCGACCACCACCTCCTAAAGCAGTTGCTCTACTCCAAACTCAAGAATGTTGGTGGGCAGGAAAAGTGATTGAAAGATGAACTCAAAGCCAACCTTAAAAACTCAGGCATAGACACTGAGAACTGGGAAGCCCTGGCCCTTGAGGTCAGCTATGACTAGCAGTGCTGTAGAATTTGAAGAGGCACGAATGGAGGGCAAAAGAGAGAAACGTGTCAAGAGGAAGGTGTGTCACGCCAACCCTGACTGGGACCGCCTTCCACCTGGAAACTGATGCCCTCACTGTGGGAAAAGATGTAGATCAAGAATAGGGCTCCAACGTCACCTATGGACCCACCACCAGAACACCGACCTTGAAAGACCATCATCCTCGGATTACGAGGGATCACCTAAGTAAGTAAGTAAGTACACAGACTGTGCCACAGCAACGCGTGGCAGGGGATGGCTAGTTTGGAATAAAAAGTAACATGGATCAGAGTGGGAGAAGACCTCTTTTGCCAGTTCTCCAAAATGCTGGCTCAGGTATACATGTCTCCCATCATTTCATTTTTTTTCTTCAACATTATCAAGTAGTGTTGATAGTGTGAAGACGTTATAGGGTCTACTTACTGGCGTTCTTATAGGACCGATCTTATTTCTTCACACTAACAACTACTTGGCCAGCACTGAGGTCAAAAGGAAATTCAGACGGAAGGAGGCACTAGGCAGAAATGGTTTAGGAAGGCTTGTTCTGGATCCTGTTCCTTCCTCTTCTAGACTGCATTGGTCATGCTTTCAAGTCTCTCTTAGTAGGAGGAATACTCTTCCAAGAGCCATTAATACTTCATTGATTAATCATTCATCAGCTGACACTGTAGTCCAATATACAGCGGAGCTGAATTAAGAAGGCTAAAGTGCCTTGAATGGCAACTTTTTAAATTCGAAGACAGCCGTACAACAGTGTTACTTAGCCCTGTTATTTAGTATTATGCAAAGCAAACGTAACACTTGTAGAATCTATTTTCTGCTAGAACCAGATATAAAATAGAAGTTAGAGAAGAGGAGGGAGCCAGATAGATCTATAAACAATGGTTCCCAATCTGTGGTCTGTGGACCACCAGTGGTCTTCAAGAACTAAAATATGGTCCAGGGCCTCACCGTTACAACAAGAGCGAATGGTCTCATGAAACCCTCTTATAGTGCCGAGGCTTATTAAATACTAGCTGTCCCCTGCCAGACGTTGCTGTGGCCCAATCTGTGTATATGTATGTTTGGGTATATATATATGGTTTTGCGCATGCATTGTAATGTATTTTTTTTTTGCTTTTTAAGTCTCTTCCGCTGTGTTTTCCAGGGTTTTATGCGTGACGGTCACTCGTTGGCCTGAGAGGTGTATTGTGTCCAAATTTG